CCCTGAAACAAGAGGATTCATTTCCATGAAAGCATCTGTGATGGATTCAATCAACAGAAAATGTAATTCACACTAATTACATCCAGAGGAAGAGTCTTAACATTTCATAAACGATTATGTGTCAACACGAAGCCTCCGCGTCTATTTATACCTCATGATGTGAAATGACAGAAAAGACAGAACCACAGAGAGAAGCTGTTTAGATTTATTACAGTTCGTTTGAAGCGATGTGATTAACAGCAGCGTCTGATGAGAACATGTGAGTTCTTCTTTGTTTAAAGCAGGAGGGACAGAGAGAGACAGACAGAGAGACACAGAATCAGAGAGAGAGACAGACAGAGACAGACAGACTGTGTGGTTTATAATGCAGCAGACAACAATGTGGTTTCACCATCAGTGCTGAACAGTTTCTTGTTTCATAAACTCCAGTGTGTGTGTTTACTCTGAGGACAGTACGTTGATGTTCCACTTTTCCTTTTCTGTCACAATACAAAACTATTTTCAGGAAGTGAGACCTCCACCGCATGTTTTTCCTTTTCTCTTCCAAACTTAACGTTTCTTTCCGCAGTCGCGTACGAAGCTTTTTTTTGTTTTGGCCGAACATTCAGGAGTCGTGACCATAAACACGGCTTCACCACAGGAGACATGAAACGATGGAGCCTGAGGCAACATAATCGAATTTCAGAAACACAAACACACGATAAAACCTCAGAGTGAAACAATGAGGATTTTGTTAAATAATCTGCATAAACAGTTTGTAAATCGTGATTCGACAGGAACTAATGAGTGCACGTACATTCTTTAAATCCTTTTTATGAGAAAAAGATTCATGACTTCAGAAAGATATGTGGAAGCCCTCACGGTGTAATTAAGTTGTTGTTGTTGTTAAATGAGTTTGTTCCACTGGTTTAACATTATCTCTGACGCTCACTTTACATGGATGCAGTCTGTCTCTCCAGATGTTTCCACTGCAGCTGGATCTCATGTCATTTTTATATTATTGAATTAAACTATTAAAAAAAAATAACTATTTAGATTTCACCTTCAAAACACACAAACAACGTAATTCCTGCTCAAAACAGGAAATGAGAAATAAGCATCAAAGTGAACAGACACCACAGTTACTGAACATCATCAATCAAAGTGTTTAAAACAAGAGAGGAACAAGAAACTTTAACCCGGAAACAAAAACAAGGACCAAAGCTAAAATGATCCTCAGGCACTGATTTGTTTTACAGAACAGAGAAACATTGAACCTCCAGAAGAAACAAGACGTTTGATTCAAACACGACAGTAAAGTCACAGTTCGGCAAGAAGCACCAACGAGACTGAAAAATCCTTTTCTACTGAAAACTGCTTTTCTGTTTGTGCTTTTTACATGAAGACAAATATGCGTTTGTGTGTGTGTGTGTGTGTGTTTGTGTGTGTGTGTGTGTGTGTGCAGAACATTACACAGGTTGTCATATAGCGACGGTTCCTCTGTGAAGAGACGTGCAGCTCTACATGCGACTGTTTGTGTCTCTACGTCATGCGGTCAGCGATGAGCGTTCACTCAACACGAGACACAGAGCGAGCTCCTGAACATATTTACATCGAACACACACTTTAAACTAGCGGAGAGGATTTAAAGGAGTCACATTCTCAGGTTGATGAGTTGAATCATTGTGATTAATGTAAAATGTTTTCGTGCTCGTAGGTTCACTGTCCTCAGACTGCTGCTGCTCCTCTCTTCAGCCTCTGTCTCAAACACTTGTTTTTAGCTCCCGTCTCTTTTGACACAGGGGGACGAGGGGTCACTGAACGGTTTGATTCCCATAAAAACAAATAGATGTGACTTTAAATACAATCGTACCTCTTACATATATATATATATATATATAAACATTTCACTTTTCTAAAATCCCTTTCCATGTGCTGCCTTGAAATATATATCTTTTTCCATATTGTGAAAATACTTTAGAGCCTTCAACCCTAAATCTCTACAAATATCACACGTATAAAAACACGTTCATTAAGTTTCAGGGTATGAAACCTCTGATTTCTCATCTCTCAAACTAAACCACTGTGATCCAATCTGACGGAGACGAATCATCTTCGCGACTCCTGACCTCTGACGTCACGCAGCAATGTGTTCAAGAAGCTTGAAAAGAAAAGGAGCTGCAATAAAACCGTTATCGTCTCTTTGTCTCACATCCTCCTCCTCCTCCTTTATCCTCCTGCTGTAATCATCACCTCCTCATCAGCAAACATCAAACACAGGAACCCTCCCTGAAGCCCACACGCCTCCTGAGCGTTCGAGGCTGCGCCGCCATCGCCACCGTGAGCGAGCGGGTTTACAGACACGCTTCACCATCCTGACAGGCCTCCGGACAAACTCCTGACACCTGCCGGGTGAACCCAGCGAGGTGTGAATACCTTTGAATCCCTGCGGAGACGCGATGACGGATGAAAACGAGAAGCGGGAACAAACGTTTCAGAAGCCTGCAGCTTAAAACGAGTTCAGGTTTTTACTTTGAAACCTGTTGGTGGGCGGAAAAACAACATTTCATGCTGGGTTTTTATTCAACGCTGAGGAATGTTCAGGGTTATTTTAATGTTGCATTTATCATTAAAGCAAAAACTATTTCTACGTAACACAACTAACTAATCGAAAATCTTAGATCCATGAAGTTTTCCCAGGAAAAAAGTTGAAATACATGTTTAAAGAAAAAGTTCTTGGATTTTACTAATGTGAGAAACACAACATATAAACAGAAACATAATAAATATAAATAATGGTTCATTGATCCATATCGAGGTCAAACTTTGAAACAGTGGTGATGTTAACTTGGAGTCACATGGTCCAGCCATAATTTTATTGTGTTTCCTCGTTTAATCTGTTGAAATTAACGTTTTAGACAAAGACAAAATAATAATAAATCACATTCCAGCGGAGGAGGACGGGGGGGGGGGGGTACACACACACACACACGTCTGAGGTTGTGTGTGACGACACATGTGATGAGTGATGGTGGAACAGAACAAAAAAAAAACAAACCAAAGAAACTCAGGATCAATCATTATTTATTCAACACGTAGGATTAATTTCTGTCAATGATTCTTTACATGAACACAAAAGAAAAATGATGTTTGTCGGTTTTTTTTTTTTTTTCTACATTTGAGATTCAAATTCAAACTGAGATTAAATCCAGCGCCTGTTGTTTCCTGTGCAGCAGCTCAACAAAAAAAAAAAAAGAAAGAAAGAAAGAACTTTGGAAAATTTGATGAAATAAATAAATAAATAACACGACAATTATCTCAAAACAAAAAAAAACTCCCAATAGAATAAATCTAATATTGAGTCAATGACTAATAACCTTACTGCAACGTGTCGCCTCACCTTTCAGAGAGAGAGAGTTGTCCTGACTTTGTTATTTGATAAATCTGAGGTTTAATATCACACGAACGAACAAACTCTTTTCTACGCAGCGAATGATTCAGACACGTAGCTAACACCTGGAGCTTCCTGTCTGAATCGTAGACCGCAAACAAAGATGGACGATACGGCAGCTCCCCAGGAGTGAAGCCGGAGCACCTTGATAGCCCCCTTGTGGCCGTCTGCAGTACATGTCGTAAACCCCACCTCCTCCATGTTAGCGGATGAGACAAAAGCTATATAAGGTTTATATTAGTTATTTACTGCGGCTCCACCCACTGATTATTAGTGAAGCCCAGACTCTAGCTACAGTTTGTATCCGGGATTTATTGTGGCTTCATTTCCAGATAGTGGAAGGGAGTGGAGACGCGTCGTCCATCTTTATTTGCAGTCTGTGGTCTGAACACACCGTTAGAACAGGTTTCCTGCGAAATGATGGTGGCTGCACTTTGATTTAAGATTCAGCTGAATGTTTTTTGTTTTTGTCTCCTACACCGATTTCATTTTCAGTCTCGAGAACTTATTATGAACCTGAGCGAAACTCTGAATCCGTAAAAACAGACTCTGACTCCACATCGTGATTATCTGATCACTGATCCTTCACACGACACGCCTCCTCCCCTCAAGAGAAAACTCTCCTTTCCAGATATTCTACAAAACTAGCATTTTCTCCAGTGATTAAAAAGGACGAGTGCAAAATACTTAAAAGGGGAAAAAAAGTGGGTGCATCTCTCCTCAAAAAAACAATCAACTACAAGCACGTCATCCCCCAAATCAGCAGAACATCAACCTGATATCAAGACGAGAAGCAGAACGAGAAACCCTCTGTGCTTTGTTTTCCACTTCCACGCTGATATCATGCATTTCTAGAAGTATCACAATAGATTTTGACGATTCCTTTCCTTCCTCAAAAAGACAGAAAGGAAATTAAAAAAAAAAAAGAAAGGTACACGATGCATATACAACTTATTGCTTTAAATATTTGTTCTTCTAGTGCACAAGCTCCACAACTCGACAGGAATCGTTTAGGACGGTTTGTTGTCGGCGATCACTGAACATTCGCGCCCTGAGTCCATCACTTTCAACACACACACCCACGGTATCAAAAATAAATCAAATAGTGCATCTTACAAAGTGGCCCGATGCAGACAGCGAGTTCAAAATCAAACCAACGACTGATTCCAACTCTGTCTCAATGCTTCTTTATCGCCTCTTCTATTTAAAGACAGCAGCAGCTTCAACAACACAGTGCAACACTGCCCCCAGTGGTGAGCTGTGAACTCCACTCCTCACTGCAGCACAATCACAGACACTTTTCAGATTCAAGCAAACTTTTTTTTTTTTT